CATGCCTCTAGTAGAAAGCACAGCGGGCACAGCAGCATACCTATGAACACGAGCAGTCAGAGGGCAGCGTGTGCGGCTGGAGCTCTGATGAAAACGGGCACAGAAGGACACAGAAGTGGTTTACAGCAGGACAGTGCGAGTCAAAAAGGCAGGTAGGTCGACAGAATGACTGAGGTGAAGCGAAAAGCGTGTTTTTTAGTAAGTAAGCTAATTAGTTAGCCAACCTGGGTTGCTAGCGTTGTCTGTTAGCTGTCAGCATCCCTCGCTGCTTTAATGTAACTTGCAAGCGCAGTGCTGAGGATAGGAACGAGTCCGGTTGTTTAAAACGTTTATTTACGCGCTGTTTAAGAGCCTAACCCTGTTTTTTCCATTATGTAGCCAAATAATAAATGCACTTTTAACACAGCTCCCTCACATTTGATGCCGCAATGCGAATACATTGTGTGCGCGTGCTAGCTAACTTACCGTTTGGAGAGCGAGTGAGAGAGAGTAAGTAGCGATGTGGCTAATGTAATTTTTTCCAATAAACTGGTTGACAGTGGCCAGTAGCTGGTGTCGTGGTTGCCACGTGGATCTGCCGGTGGTTTTTAAGCAGTCAGAGACGCTGTGGTGAACCGTGCGTGGCCGCTCATTGAATTAAGTTACTCATCGGCTCCTCATCATCTCGCCATGAGCAGTGAGAGGCAGTCACGAACCTCACGTGCTCATTCATAGGGAGTAGTCGTAGATAAGGTAGGTTCGGTTACTCGGAAAGCTTTGGTTGTGTCAAAAACCGCACGCTAGTAACCTAGGTTAATAGTGCGCTACCATTAGTAGTCCATTCATTAGGTGCCGATACATAAACATGTTATTGAGTGTGTGTAGATTCTGTCTTAGCTAAGAACAAATCTCTAGTAAGAAAACATTGATTAATGTAAGAATCTTCATGAAAACTACGTATGTGAGCTTTAAGAAGAAATTTCTTCTTAAGAACGTTTGGTGAAGGAGGCCTGTTGTCACAGAGTTTTTAGTCACAGGCTGTTTTTTCAAAGACTGGTTATCTTGCAGCGTCACTTTGCAAGACAGCTGCTAGGTTTTTGAGATTATTTCCCATCATGCACCTGGTGGAAATGTGCAAAAAGAGAGACACTTTTCCCTCTAGTGGATGGCAAGACATGTTGGGTGGGTATGTGAAGATCTGGGTCAGCCCACACTGTAGAACTGGATAGTCTGGCACATTATCACAAAGTATAGTTTTAATTCGCCTGTTAAATGTGCAGTTGCTTTTTATTTAATATGAAGATTTACACATCAACAAAACATGCAGCGATTCAGCATTGTTGATTGGGTGCTATGAACTAAACCATAAAAAGAAAATAAACCACTAACAGAAGGCCAAAAGATAATCAGTAATGGCATTCTTAAAGTCCTCTGCATATTTCCTTACATTACTGTTACAGGCTATTATATAGGAAATATTAAAACAGCCAGTTTACAGTTTTAGGTTAATATGGTAAGTGTGTTAAAGTGGAGCAGATTTGCCTTTTTTTTTTTACAGAAATTTTAGGCACTCATGCATGCATTTTCTCCTTTGTGCTTTCTCTCTTGCACGCAAGACAAGAAAAAGACTGACTTGAGCCATCCTGACCACCTTACACTAAACAATTGAGATGACATGAGCGTGATGCAACTCTAGCAAGACACTCATGATTTTATTCTGACATTAGAAATTTGTCTGTGACAGTGAAATCACTTAGTTGTTTGGTGTAAGGCCAGCATTATTCACAAAGGGGTGTGGTGTAGGTTTTTTTCCAATCAAGCAAAAGCCCACCTGATTCCCCTTGCTTCTTAGCATGAAAACCTGCAGCCACTTCAGTCCTTATAGATAAGATCGGTAACTCGCGATTTAAAAAATGTAGAAACTGGAACTACATCTGCATGTATGAGCAATGGAGAGAAATAGAACATTATTTCTTCAGGGTTACGGGTGCCTAAATGTTCCGCTCTTCTGGTGTACAATAAGTTTGTCATCCATATTATGTGTAGTATTAAGTCTGTAAGCGATTAAATCCAATATTAATAATACATAATAGCAAAATCAAAAACAGCACACTGAAATTTAAAACTATATAGCCGATGTGCTCCTTGGCTGCTTAAAAATCATCTAATAATGTGAGCCAAACCAGTCTGTATAGTGTATATAATTGGAGCTCTATATAATCTAGCCATTTTTACCAAACTAAATATGAAAAATTGAGCACAAAATCCAATTTTGGTTTCCGAAATGAAAATCGTATCAAACGTGAAAATGCTTATCATTAACACCCCCTGTTGCCTAGTGTGTATAGCTTTGCATGTTTGGGACACATTTTTTGCACTTTCCCAGCTGGAATGATAATTAGCTGGCTGAGAAAATTAGCGGAAAGTGCATTTCCTTCCATCAACTTTCTCCTCCTCTCCTCAGTAGTGTGAAGAAATTGCTTGACTTTTCTTTGTCCTGTGCGAGTTACAAGGTGAACTCTTTTTCTCCTCTGTGCTGTTGAGTCACTCTTCCAGTACGTCCAGTGACTGCAACCTTTATTTGACTCTGTGAATGTCTGGTGTGTTCTGCTGCCAGACATCACTGTCGTACGTTTCAGGATAGTTTCCATGCAGTGGCCTCTCTGGGGTGGACTTAAAGACCTCCTCTCTGCTAATTTAGGACAGCTCTTGTTCATTAACTGGGTGGAATAGAGCTAACACCAGCAAAAGGAAAGTCAGTTGGTAAACATGTTATTCAATCATAAGACTTGCCGTAAATGATTAGTACATTAGGATTAAGAAATCGATGATAAAAGCCAGAGTTGCTGATGCTATATTCTTCAGACTGACTTGTGGGCAGAATTTGCCAATAGTAATGTTGTAATCTTCTCCCACACCCATTAAAAAGGCATTTTTTTCATAGTAGATTCTTTTGGGTTTACCACTCTGCATTTTGTGCTTGTGGAATCTGTGAAGTGGAAAAGACCATGGCTTAAGATGATAAACATTTATATGGCATCCCTATAAGGACTTGCTCAAAGTTGTTTAACTCACGGTGGTGCACTCACTGGATGTGGACAGAGGCAGAAGCTGTCCTTGAAGCTAATCCACTGCCAGCTATTAACTTTAATGAGCACGAGAAGACCCACAGCTAGTATTCGTGCTGCTGCTACAATGCTGGTACAAAGTTCATTTGACTTTCTTTGATTCTTCTTTGAAAGGTGAAGCTGGTGGAAGAGGTCAGAAAGCAGGAACACTTCTGTCTTAAATATCCCACTAAAACATTTTTTGACATTTTGGCCCTTGTCATTCTGCTAGAAGAGTGTCCTAGTCAACCAAAGTGGGGTCAGTACTCAGTTATATGACCAAAATGCACTACAATTAGTGGCTGCTAACACTGTTAGTAATCCAACACTGATGTGGTTTCGATTACCAAGGTTACTCTGGTCTCACTTTTGTGTGGGAAAGGACTGACCTAGTCTGTGTGCTTTTGTGGAAATCACTACACTGATCTCTGAGCTCTTTGAGAATTGCTCAGTTGTAAAGCTCTCCCATTATAAGTGGTTTTGTAATAAAAAGCAAGAAGGGCTGATGCTGTGCCTGCTCAGTGCGTTGCCAGGGTGTGTCAGTTTAAATGAACAGTCACCCTTAACTTTCTCAGGAAAAGTAACTAGCACACCAAGTAATTAGGCAATAAATAACCTTTCTCATCCATCTTCAGTTCACTATTTTTGACAGCATTTTTCCCTTTTTATTGGCTGATTTCCTGGGTGTGGGTGCGCTTAGAGTTTGAAAGTTCTCCAGTAACTGCGAGTCGGGAGCTCTTCACTGATCAGGAATTTTTGTCCAAATCTCTCCTTCTCATGTCTGATAATGAATTGTTTTAATTGTAGCCAGTAAAAGGTTGAGCAGGCAATGTTGAGTGCTGAAGAGACTGCAGTACAACAGATTAATGAACTGTTGGATAGAGTGTCATTAAGGAGTCGGGAGCCATATGCCCAATCGAAATCTCGTGGACCGGTGGAGTCCCAACATTATCAAATTCAGAGCTGCAAGTGTGTATATGTGAGTACAAATGAGTGAGGACTTTAGCCTGACTCACTTCGATGTTTGATGTTGATACCAAAGTCTGTACATTTGCACATTATCTTTTGCTTGCATTGGGAGACCTTTGTTTGGCTGATTTTATTTATTTGGAACTCCTCCCATTTTGCCCACCCCCCCCGAAAACTCTCTTATGCCTCTTATGTCCTAGTTGATTGAACCTGCGGTCCTTTGCACTTTTTTAGTGTCTGCAAGTCCAGAGTAGGCAAGAGATTGGGCAGTGTTGAACATCTGCGGTGGCATAAATTAGGCAGTAATCAACTATAGTCATTTGCGCCTCCATACTACCCCCATTGACATTGAGTGCTTTATGTCTGAGATGTCTTTTAATCAACAAAAGTATGATGAACATGATTTGGAAATGGATCCTCCTTCTTTTGCGCTTCATATCGCTGTCTGAAGAAAAACATTATGTCCAAAAATAGCAGCTTTACAGGAGAAGGCAAAAACTTAACATTTAATGCATGACAATGCAAAGAGGTTTTATTTCAAATGTTTTTAGATCATTTCTCTGTAAAAATAAAAATTATCAAGTGTTTTTGTTTATTCATGGTGTTTGACGATATGTTTTTTTCAAAGAATTTTCTTAGACACAGTTCCATGTATGGGCAAATTGCTGACTACAGAATGACACACAACTTCAGGTCTGTATCTATTAGTAGTGGGAGTAGTGGTGTAGCAAAAACAGGGATGAAATGCTGTGTGTGTGTAATGGCTACAATGACAGAATGTTCTGTGTTGTACTGTTACTTTGTAGAAGATGCCAGGTGAATGGAAAGGTCAACATGCTGGTCTATTGTTAGCACTGTGTGAATGCCAGGGGTCAGTAGTTGCATTTTAGATCTAAGGGGTCTATAATCGTATTCAGAACTGCTTTGTGATTCTGTATCTTATTAGAATACAGTGGTAAATGGGATTCTTAATGCATACAGTGATCTTGATCAGACAAACCTGACATACAGATTGAGCAGCAGAGAGAGAGCACAGTACCTTGGATGTTAAATGAATTTGGGTCACAGTTTAGTTAATTTACAGCATACAGAGAGCA